ACAAGACTCCAGTGTTTACTAAATGGTCCAGATCAGCTTCCACTTCAGGCTTCAGAGCAGAGGCACAGCTCTGGGCTTGCAATACTCTGGCTGGTTGTCAGACTTAACAGTGATTTTCACTGACACAATGTTTAAGCTCTTTTTCAAAAACTTTGGAGTACCTGTCCAGTATTTCCTGAAGATTTTTAGGTGCTTTTGTGATTGCCTCAATATAAGTCCAAGTCACCTTGAGCTTCTCAAGCCAAAATCTGCCAAATAATGGTGGATGCTTTCCTTCAGTCACACACAAGGGTCAAACAACTGATTGTCCATCCAGCTGAACTTTCACCTGGAGTATCGCTTTTGGGACCAACTTTTTTCCAGTATAACTCTTCAAAATCATGGATGTTTCTTCCAGAGGAACGTGTGACAAAGTCTGTTGATAGGTAGATGCAGAAACCAATGAGATGGTAGCTCCAGTATCAAGCTCCATTCTTGTAAGAACTTCAATCAAAGGTGTAACCCAGATGCCATCTCTAAATCCAGCTTGCAATAACATGTGTAGTGCTAAATCCTGGTCAATGTCACTAGAGCTCTTGTCTTCTTCCAGATTATGAATTCCCAACTTCCATCCTTCATTAGGTTCAGTTGTCATAGATGTTTTCTTGAATAAATAGTTACTCTGTGTTGCTGATCATTGAACTGTCCCACAGCTCATAGCAATGTGTCCCTTCTTCTGGCACTTTCTGCCAGAAAAGGCATGTCCAGCAATCCTTTTCAGCATGCGTAGTTTGTGCACTACAACCACATGGAAATTCCTTATGTACGGATGGTCCTCTGTCTCAGTGATTTATGAGATGAACTTTTTGGTTCACACTAAATTCCAGAGAATCCTTCTCTGTGGTCACCACTGAACTCTACTTCAGCAGTCTTTTTGGATGTAAGCACTTATATAGTCAATAATGTCTTCTGGACCCGGTCATTGCATTATCCGGAGACTAACTGGTCACGTGAGGCAACATTCAGTGTTTGTCCAAACTGATGGTGCTCTGACAACCTCCCGAGAGCAACATCAAACTGTGCAACTGACTCTCCACTTCCGTGATGTTGTTGATGAAACTGATACGTTCTGCTATCACTGATGGAATAGGAGAAAAATGTCCCTGAACTGCTGCAATAATTGTGGTGTACATGGCAGTGCCAGGCACTGGAGATAATAGGTCACACAGAAGTCCATGTCTTCTCATCCATCACTATCAACAAGGTTGAAACCTGTTGTCCGTCTAGAAAAATGTGGTGCAGGTTACAAATTGCTCAAAATGTTTGAGGTACACTGCCCATGATTCACAGTTGTCATCAAACTCACCAATATTGCCCACACCATTTCACTGCTCTCCTGTTGCCTCTTGGACATCTCCTGCCACAGGGAAACTGTTTTTATTTGTTACTGCACTATTTGTACCCCCTCTGCTGGCCATGTGCGTACATGGCAAAATGCGGAATTTTTCCTTTGGCTGTACTTGGTCTCCATCACAGTTGCTAACTTTCACGTGGTAAATAAGCACCCTGACTTTCACAATAAGCCAAAAATCAAGCTAATCCCATTTCAAAACAAGGCCAAAACAAGCTAATCCCTAAGAACCCCAACACTCTCTGTGACTAGATCCCCCCAGCGTGCAGTTTGGGATTGTGGTGGGCCCACTGTGCATCTTTGACTCTCTTACCCCCTTGTCCCTGCTTGCCGGGAGCCAATCAAAAAAAGAAGCAACAAGCTACAATAAGCAACAAGCTACAAGCCAAACAAACAACAAGCCAAAAACTAGCCAACAAGCAACTCACAAGCAAATTAAGCCAAATTTCTGCATTTTTTTCACGGGTTTGGCATGTCTGGTCTCCCTCTGCTGGCTATAGACACTCCGTGCAGGCTGCTGGCTGTTGGTCTGGCTGCCTGCTTGCACATGGTCAACAAAGATGGCTGTTTACTTCCCCTTCACTGCTCTGTTTGAACAGTTCTAGCAGCATATGCAGAACTTGTATCCTTAGTTCTATCTTTATTTACCTAATTGCCCCCTCTAGCTGGCTGTCCCAGGAGCAAAAACAGCAGTCTGGCACCCTGTGCCAATAGGTGAACTTTGTCCCCTTTTTCGTAGTATTATTTACGTAGTTTTTCTTCTTCATGTTCAATCAGTGGGAGCACTGGACACTGGTGGGATATAAATTCCTTGTCGTCAAATATTATATTTCTGGATCCAATAGAGAAGGAGAGAGACACAAACATAGAGGGAACTGATAGAAACACAACTGTGCACGGTGATTGCGTAATTGTTCTGGCTGCAAAACTGAAACAAAGACGAGGTTTTGCACTGGGGAGTGGAGAGCGCTCAAACATTTAAAGGGACAGGACACTGTGTTCTCTATCTAAATTCTTACACTGTTGCACCCAAGTAGTCTTCATATGGACTGATCTTATTCTCTGGGATGAAGCTGCTCTAGACCATTTCTCTGCTGAAAAGATGAACTCCCTGTTTCGTATCTTAGCACAACCAGCATTTCAATAGTTATAGCATATGCACTTACCCCTTTCTTTGTGCTGGATGCCTTCTTTTGGAGTCTTCTGTACCATTTCTGGGTCTTCATGGCCATTTGCTATATCATGCATAACACCCTTTACAGTGCACCTGAGAGGTTGCTTTATTAGTACTTCTGCATCTCTTTGCATGCATATTTTCCTATCTCACTTTCCTCCCTCCATGCCTTTTAGACCTCCTCAGAACATAAGGATGTTGCCTGAAAAATTCTGTTGAAATATCTATATTTCATATGCAAAGTCCCTAGTTCTCTGATGCACAAAGACGCTAAGGGCTATTTCCAATGTTATTGAAACAAGGAGTCGGTTCATGTAAAACTAGGGAGGGGGAACGTGGCCTAAAATTCTCATTTCTAATATTTCAAAACTTTAATCATTAGTATCCCCTAAGCATTTTATCACTATTGCTTTAACAACCCATGACATTTACTATAGAAATAAGATCCTTTCTATAGGTGTGGCATTGGAGTTTTTTAAACAATCCTATACAATTCTATAGTATGGACATAATTCTGATAAGATGATTGAAAAAAAAACTATAGAAGAGCTGCTATTTGTTGTTCAGTTCTATAGGACTTTGCCATATGGGATGGAAACATTTAAAATCTTGCTGAACGTGAGATGAACATTTTGAATATACTAAATCAATTTAGATAATTCCTACATTTAACTGTTTAAAATGTTTTTTTTTTTATCGTAGCACCAAGCCAGACCTGTAAATGATTTCAGCCCTTGGGCTAGTAAATATCTTTCTGGGGGAAGCTAGACTTTTTGCCAGAATTGATTCCAATTAGCATATTCAGGAACATTAACTCCTGTTTCCATCCCTGATATTATTTTAGTCTTAGGATAAATTTCAAAGCAGGATGTTGCACATCTCTCTGTGATATCAACTAAAAATCACTGCTCACCTCTTTTCCTTCATAAATGTGTCTCGTTCTCTCTTGCAGTAAATAACTCATTTTACCCTTTAATGTTTATTTTGAATCTGAAGCACTTTCTTTCCTCCCAGTATATTGCCTTCATCAAACTATTAGTTCTTTCAGGCAGGCACGATCTTTTTGTTCTGCGTTTGCAAGTACAATGTTTATAGACCTTACAATCTATGGCCCCAATCCTGCATGGTGTACAGGACAGGCAGACTTCTGTGCCAACACCAAGCCAATATCCCCAAACAAGCACCACCTCACTGAAGTGAACAGAGGTCATGCAGTTCCGGCAGTCTTCCTGCATGTTACAAAATGCATGATCGGGTACTAAATAGGGACAACAGCTGAATTCAGAATACAGTGGGTGGGGGCCTGATGATAATAGTGAAGAAAGGTTGCTTGTGTTAGTTGCAGTATTTCCAATCCCCAGGATTCAAAAACCAAGAGATGGTCTTTTTTAAAAAATTACAAGATGATCTTAAAAACATCATGAGATTTTAAAAAATAACTAATGTTGGGTTCTTTTTATTTTCCTTATAGTTTTTGAACCTTCAGAGTGCACATTTCCAAGCTTTTCTCAGCGACTATGAGGGTCAGAAACTCTCTATTTTCCCCTACGAAAACCAAGATTCTCCCATAATCCCATGGTCTCAGAAGCTGGCGCTCTATGAACAATACCAAATATGGCAATCATGATAAAACAGCAGGAGCTGGCAACATTATGCTTAGATATGTATCATTTGGAGGTGGAGCCAGATAAAAGTTTCAGAATTTTAATTTTTCTATGGAAAATTTTTGTCAAAATTTTGAATTTCTATGAAAGAAAAAAAACCTTGTGCATGGAGAATTCCACTGGAATGTTCATGACTTGTTTCCTGTATTTCTACCAGCTCTGCTTGGAGTTTGGAGTCAGAGTTCTGGGGGGATTTTAAGTGAAATAAGTGAGGGAGAATCGCTAACAGACTGCTTGATGGCCATTATCATTTGGTAGTTTGCCATCGGCATCTCAGTTTCCCGTGATGCTTTTTTAGCCCTGATTCTAAAAGTCAGCTTCCTGTCTGGTTTTTGCAATGCCATTACAGATTCCGTGGAACTTTCGCTAAGTTGTCCCCTGGCTAGAATATCCCCAAACAAGCACCACCCCACTGAAGTCACCAGGGCTCAGTGCAGTGCAAAGGTCCACATGCACACAGTCAGTTTCAGGATCGGGGCAATGGCTTATAATGCTGGTCTGGATTCCTTGGGATACAAGCTTAAGAATACACTATATAAATAAAAAATGCTGATTACAAATGAATGCTCAGTGTAAGAAAATAGAAGATGCTGAATGCTACTAATAGAAGTATTACTGATACTTCACTGAACTCCACCCTCCAGATCTCTGGTGTGCGTGTGCATCTATTTGCTTCTATTGCTATTTGCAAAGGAACACTTCCCTTGTTCTTTAGAATGGCGCATGAAGCAGTATCTTCACAGTGTTTTCTCTCTTTTATTTCTCTCTGCAGTGATGGCTGGGCAGACAGGTACGATGTGACAGACGGGTATCAGCGGGAAGCTGTTGGCGGAATAACGATCAAGCTTCAGTCTCCTGATGTGAAATGGTTTGATGACTATTACCTGCAGCTTCGGCCAGAAACCAATCTCCGAAATCCATGGTTTCAGGAATTCTGGCAGCACAGGTTCCAGTGCCAGCTGGAGGGGTATCCACAAGAGAATACTAAATACAACAAGACTTGCAACAGTAAGTAGTTGGATTTATTTATGTATTTATATTTAAAATCACTAAGGTTAAAGCCTTGATTTAACTAGATAATACCATGCCGAGGCAGCGAGATTTGCAGGAATGGAAGTCAGAAAGTCTGGAATTTTAATCCCAGATCTGCCACTGAGCGGACGACTTGTCAAGAAGTTAGAGTACTAGCCTGCTCATGAGATCCAAGTCCAGCTCCCTGACCTGACACTGATTTCCTGTGTGACCTTATTGTCACTTACAGTAAACATTCTCAAAAGTATCTAAGTGATTTAGGAACCTACATCCCATTTTCAAAACCAACTTAGGCACTTAAGAGCTGATTTGGAAATGTATTTAGATGTCTGAAAATTCAGAGAAGCAGCTAGTGGGATTTTCAAAAGTGAGTAGGCATCCAACTCCCATTGGTTTCACTGGGAATTAAAGGCCTAGGTACTTTTGAAAATCTCACAAGGTGTCTATCTGCAGTGACCAAAATGCATTTAATTTAAGTCCCATCATAATTAAGTCTAGTTGAAAGTCAATGGAATTTAGGCTCCTGAGTGCTTGTCATTCTTGAAAATGAAGTTTAGGCTCCTCATAATCTGTTCACTATCAATTTGTGAGCAGAAAAAGGCTAAATTTGTCAAATTGGTCTCGCTGAATACTTTCTCCAGCTCTGACGCTTTGTCCAATGCTACCACATCAATGAACTCTGGAAAAGGAGCAGACTAAACTATGCTATAATACCCTTAACTGCTTTATTCTTGTTTTTTGCATGTAATTAACATAGTTCCGTATGGTAAAGATTTAATGGTGACAACTATTCAGATGCCATCGATGTGTCCAGGTTGTTTAAGTTGTCCATTTCAATATGCATTGTTTTGTATATATGGAGTTTATGCTCAATTTCATTGGTCATCATGCTGCTTCCTAAGTTTTACTGTGATCTAACCATCTTGTGTTAAAACTCACAAGAGGGGAACACAAGGCTTGGCTAAGAACTCTGATGTTCACCTTGCAGAGTTTCTTTGAATGTTGCCCTCAGGAGCAAGAAGTCTGGGGGCTGCAAAGGTTGGCCTCAAATCCGTGTGTTTTTCTCATGATAGCTTCCAGTTCCCACAGTAGCAGCATGGCTTCCTCATGAAGTCAATGAGAGCTCAGCACCTCTATGAAAATCTGTCCATTTATTTAGGTGCTTAAGTATGGATTTAGGTGTCTGCCTTTAAGCACCCAAATTTGGAAGTTTGGACTTAAACTTCTGTCCAGCTCAATTTCCTCATTTATAAAACAGGCTAACTGCAACTCTATGGGTCCTTTGCCCAGCTGACTGAAGAACAAGGGTGGTAGCCCCTATAGGAGCTTCCTCTGCTATTGGTGACAGAGGGGGAGGACAGGGAAGGCTTACCTGAATCGAGCAGGGAGGAACAGGAAGTGGCCATACCAGGTTGGGGGGAGGGTACTGACCTTCCAGGTGACCAGAGGAGGGTGCGGTATTTGTACCCCGAGCAGTTCCAGAAAAGCCCTCTCTCATTGGGATCCAGCTGGCACCATCCATCTTCCCACCCATAGAATCAGAGTAGAACCGGATGCCTTCAGGAACCACTGTGGGCATTACGCTAGTCACCTCTTTCCTTGGAGGATGGGAAGGAATTTTTCCCTCCCTGTCAGACTGGCTGAGGCAGGGTGGGTTTTTTCACCATCCCCACAGTACGCTTTGCAGGGAGGTTCACACATCACAATTTAGTAAATTTAAAAATGTGGCAGGTGTGCAGTGCATCCCTTAAGGAAGCTGCGGGAGGGGGATTCAGGGCTCCTATGTTTGGTACAGCAGGAAACCAGCCCCCAATAACTCCCATATGAGGGGAGGGCAGTGGGATCCCAGCAAGGGGCTTGCTGTAGCCAGGACGGGAAGTGGGAGGACTGGCCGCAGCATTCTCCAGTGGGGGAAACAGTTAAGGAAATAATGATGAACTGCACTATTTATTGCCAGGTACTCACATATATTTCAAGTGAGTAAAGTTGTGGCCAAATTGTACCACAGACACTGTCTCCTGTTCTTCTGGTATGATTAGACAAAGGGTGATAATGATACTTGCCCTCCTTATTAAAATGCTTTGAAGCCTACAGTTGAAAATAATATATTGTTGATGAGTCATATTTATCCTGCTATGAGTGCAGAATTTTGCCCTTAATTTCATCCAATTAAATATTTTCAGCTCAATAGGAGTTGCATAAAAAAATTATTACAGTATCTTCTAGCGACTCCAGTCAAAGGACTCCCAACTGTACCGGGAGCTGTACAGAAAATTTAAAAAAACACAGCCCCTATACAGAGACCACATAGTCTAAGACAGTGGCAAGAAGATATCGACAAGAAGGTGGGATGGAGGAGGTGGGTGAGGTAATAGTTAAAAGAACAACTTGGTGAATAAGCAATACTCTTAGGTCACCACATGCGTGCAGAATTTGACCTATAGTCAACCACTTCATTTTAATGCAGTAATGTCATATTGATAATAATAGCTATTCATATAAACAATATATTTTTAAAATATTGAAATAAGTAATAGGCGTTATGGCCAAAATTTGCATATGTGGATGCCTAAATCTGGATTTTGGTACATAAATTTAGTCATCCATGTTTGAAAACTCTAGCCTGTGCTTTCAGATCCCTGTATATTGAGATGATGAGATAGATTCACCCTCACAAATGCGAAGTGTATAGATTGTGATGGAGTCCACTCACCACCACAGTGCCCCCTGCTGGCCATCAGAGGAATTAGCTCTGCCAGCTGGAGTTCCTTCTCCAGGTGGTGTCTCTCCCATCGTTGTCTCTGCCTGCAGACCTGCCTCAGTCCAACTACCGCAGCATCTTCTTCATAAATCAGTCCTCTGGATGTGTCACCATCTGTGTTTTCCCCCTTCCATGTGTGAAGTAGCTCAGTTCAATAGTCTAGTCACTTGACCAGTTGCGAGTGGGAGAACCCAGGCCTGCCCACTACTCCGGGTCCCACCCCAGGGACACTGTAGATAGCAGCCTCCTGAACTTCGCTCAATGCTATGTCAATTCCCTGGGCCACTTCCCTGCCCTCTTCTCAGGGTATTCAGCCAGCAGCCAGCCAGGAGCTCCCTCTTGCTCTCCTGGTCCCTCCAAGCAACTGCTCTGTCCAAGGTGCTATCCTTCTTACAGCCAACTAGGAATACAGTCCTCATTCCTTGGGCTCCCCACAGCAACTGACTGTCTCTGGCCTCGCAGATCCTTTTATGCAAGTCTGCTGGGTCCTGACTGGCTGCTCTGTGCAGCTTCCCTCCACTTGGCTGCTTCTCATGCAGCCTCCCTAGGCTGCTTGGAGGACTCACCTCCACTGCTCCTTTCTGGGACAGGCTATGGCAGGCTTCCAGGGGTATGGCAAGCCTCTTCCACTCCAGGGGTATAGCAGGCCTCCGGGGGTATGGCAGGGTATGGCAGGCCTCTTCCACTCCAGTGTGGGGTGAACACCCCATCACAAGATTTATGAATGATGCTAGCCTTTGTAGATCTCATTTTATAGTAGGCAAAAAATGTACACAGTCATTGTTACACAGTCACTATTTATTAGGGCAGGAGGAAATTCAGTGAATCATGCAAAATGAAAATGTGATGATAAAGTCAAGAGCACATGAAAAACAGCCCCAAATGAATATAGCTTTTCTTCTTTCATTTCTATCAACTTTTGATAAGTTTCCATCTCTTCACATATACTTTGACTCATGTTGAGGTTAACATTTTAGCATCAAGCCATTTTTATGTGCAGATTGAGTATGTTTACCTAATCCAAATGGGTGCCACTGCTCCTGCTGTTGTTAAGTACATTGATTTTCTGTCCAGCTAGAGCACTCCTGAAAGGGAGAAGTTTGCAGACTTATCTGACTTCATGCTCAATGTTATCAATTCTGTGTCACAGGAGAATTGATGTGAGCCACCTATGTAGACTGAGGGTCAGAGCAAAGGATTTAAAATACACCTTTAACTGGAGACTTTCCATAGCCCAAGAACACTTGGGATTTTACAAGAATTGGAGTGTGCTTCCCCTCTGGCACCAGTCAGATGCTTTTGATTAACCAAGGCCCCAGTTCAGCTAGGCAATTAAACACGAGCATAGCTCTAAGCAGCTGAGTAATTCCACTGAAGTCAATGAATGTCCAACACCAGCACCATGTCACAATCCCTTGATGTTATATAACTTTAGACCTTTGCAGCCTGAGTATATATCAGTGTCTCCCTCTTTCTCAAAAGAAAATACACACGCACAGTTCCAAATTCCTAGTGCCTTTTCTCCCTAGCAACAATGTTTTCCTAATACATCTTCCCTTTAGGCGAACTGAAACCTCACAAAAATAAGTCATGGGGTACAATCCAGGATGCATGGAAGTTAATAACAAAACTGCCATTGACTTCAATGGGGCAAGGAATTTATCCATTGAATTTACCAATCTGTTGTTGTTAGCCGAGAGGGCTTTAATATAGATTCATAGATTCATAGATTCTAGGACTGGAAGGGACCTCGAGAGGTCATCGAGTCCAGTCCCCTACCCTCATGGCAGGACCAAATACTTTCTAGATCATCATCATTAGATAGACATTTATCTAACCTACTCTTAAATATCTCCAGAAATGGATATTCCACAACCTCCCCAGGCAATTTATTCCAGTGTAACCACCCTGACAGGAACTTTTTCCTAATGTCCAACCTAAACTTCCCGTGCTGCAGTTTAAGCCCATTGCTTCTTGTTCTATCCTTAGAGGCTAAGGTGAACAAGTTTTCTCCCTCCTCCTTATGACACCTTTTTAGATACCTGAAAACTGCTAA